AGTAGTGCTACACCACTCACTCCAGGGTGGATAGCAGTCCTCACTGAAGTGGTGAGTGCGGGTTGAACGGAAGGTAGTTTATATATCCTACTGACTACATACCCCACTATCTTATTCATTTGTGCACGTCGCAGGTGCTAACACATTGCGAATGGACAATGTGGACAGCATGGACGTTGAACCGCGAAAGAATTCGATTTGCCAGGAAGCAAAACCTTTCGTCCTGTTTGGAGGACCGTATGTAGATCTATTAGTCTTTTCTAACCATTTATACTAACACCTCCATCTTCCGGTTGAGGGTCGAGAACACGAGAGATCCTCTAGATCCATTATAATTGAACTTGATCTTTGTCCTTGAAAGGAGTGACCAAATCGATTATGCCTACTTAACATGCTGATGTGGACTCGAGCTTTATTGGTCCCGGTGATCTAGATCGGCACCAAAGATCGTCCTCGCTTTTCAGGTGAAGCAAACTGAAGGCGTCTTTGTACCTGCATTAGTTTGTTTCTCTGCGAGATGGACCAAATGGTTACAGCGCGAATTTACTGACCGGAAGGTCCGGGGGTCGAACCTGACCTCTGCCACTCATCTTTCCCTGTCTAGGCTTGGGCGAACTGGCGGGATCCCAGCCCTCTTCCTCCTTCGTGGAGCTAGACACCGAAAGAGTGCTAAAGCTAGACGATTTTTTTTGTTTCTCTGCATAAGCTGCTCGTGATGAGCCACTCCGTGTCCTTTTGCGTCCAGTCTTATGATTATTTATTCGATCATATGATGAATCTGGATGAGGAAGAGGTACTGACTAGCTCGAGTGACGGCGAACCTCGGGCTCTGGTGTGGGCGAATCAGAATAACCGAGTACGATCGAAGGGGGGGCTGTTCAGACGAGTAGGATGTAAGTGCATGTTCCACAAACCGTGCAGCTACCCAGACCCCCAATCAACTGGGACAGAGAATGCATCAGACGAAAGCAGCTTTCCATACTCTGGACTCCTTCTTCTTCTCAGCAAGTATGAAGTAATATCTCGTACGTGTTCGTACGGGTACGATCCTTGATGATGGTGATTTGAGCTATTCGAAGTATTCGCCAGCCCGTTCCCTAGGCGAGGTGTGTAGTCCGATCTTCTTGAAGTATCTCTCGATAGGCCTGTTGCAAGTATCGTGTACTCACCGTTGCCCCAGGGTTTAAAAAAGCCGTTGTATGCGAGACTGTTACAGGCACGAGTAGTATGGAGTTGTATCACCAGAAATGACGGACCTGTTGCCACCCTGTGAAGACAAACCAGTCGGCAGCTCACCCTTCGATTTGTAGCCAATAGTGCTCTAATAAAGTTGGTGTTTCCTCTAAGCGACCCGACTCCTGTTTTGGCAACAAATCAGGCTGAGGTTAACGAACTACACTCATTAGGTAATCACAGTCCCCGGGTTTCCGTCAACATTACGTTTTACTCGTACCCAAAGTGTAGGAAATTCGCATACCACTTCGGTTTTGACGGGCGACTCACCTGAATCCCGGCTGAATCACTTGTTAAGTGATGCTGGTTTGAATAGCGTGAACAAGCGTTCATTGACGTACCTGATCAATGTTGTCAAACTCACATCTTTCTCACAGCATGTCATGAGTACAATACGGACAACATCACCATTGAGTTGCTTTCAATCCATTTCATCGACCTATGTCCACGATATGGGACCCTGTATCATCGTGGGATGTTAGCTCCTGTTCCCCAAACTTTCGCCCGGTAATCGACTGTCTGTCGTTTCATGTCGTTCTTTCAAACTTTCCCGTCTATAAAAACGCCGGACGAATCAGCCGTCGTGATTCGACAGAATCCGTTAAAGGATGACGCTGTAAAGCAACTGATCCGGCTAGACGTAATACATCATAGACGTGAGATTCAGCTGGGTTCCAGGTGAGTCTGCCGTCAAAACCAAACTGCTATGCTAACGAGTTTCTAAGTTACTTCTGGTTAGGCCTTTACAGGATCAGCGATATGGAGCCAATCAACTGCGTGAGGATCACGTATTTGCCCCGTTTTGCTTCGCTCGCCACAACGACTACAAGAATCAATAAGGCTTGTCATGGCTTCCGTCGTCTGGATTTTCTGGTCCAATCTGATTTTTTCCACATGGGTGGGATGCCCGCTAGACGAGACGACACAGTCAGCGGTTGTAACAGTGACTCATGCTGGGTTAGAGCGACGCCCACAATCAAACACCCACGTCAGCGGCGATTGTCTGCGGACGTTGAACCTTACGTATCAGCCGCTGGTGCCTGCGGAAGCCATGTATCCCATTTCATGTCCACACCCTACTGCCTTTTTGTGCAGCAGCTTACGAATATGAACATGGAAGAACAATTTGTAGGTCTCCTCATCTGTACCCTACCGTAATCTACCATCTTGAAAATGTAAGGTTGTCTTCCCTCCAACCGACACGTCACAGACGAGACTTCACACAACCCACACCTTCTTTGCAACGTCTCACTCGAATAGTTTGCTTTCCAAGGAAATGACCAAGCTAGATATAACATACTACTTATATGGTTACCGGAAACTGAAGTGTTGGGATTCCTGATGCAGCACATTCAGACCGTTGTAAACGAAAAATTCAGCCGGATTCAGTTGAGTCTTCTGTCAAAACCACATCCGCATGCAGATGAGAGCATGTGGTGATAGGAAAATCGATTTTGAATTTCGATTCTTTCCACCCTGGACGAGATCTTTCCACATCACCCTTTTTTCCCCAACTCATTGTTGGCTAACGCGGTAGACAAAAATTCAAATTCAAGAAAGAGAGCTCGAATAGGAGGCGGATTCGTCACAGTCTACAAATATCCCGGGGGAACAAACCTCAGGGAACTAACATCGCACATCAGTACACACTTGTATACGCACCTTTGCACAGAAACGCAGCTATCTTATTTCGATTAGGGTGTTGATCGGTGATTGCCACAAGTGATGGCTCAACAACACCAGACTGGGACTGGTTAGAAGCGCGAATGCTTTTCACCAAACTGTCTACCCTTCTCGTGTTGTCGCCTATGGATTCACGAGGGGGTAGTGGGTAAAAGGCGTCCATTTGAAGCTACCTTGGACTGCTTCCAGTGTCTGTTGTGTGTTCAACCTGGGTGGTCCCAGTTCTTACGGGACGTTTGAAGAAAACATGAAGAACTCAAGTAGTCTTAGATGCACGATTTGTGAGATTTTAGTGTGAGTATATACACACATTGTCTATAGCTGAAGGTCTCACAGTCTGGTGTCAAGGTTTCCCACGACTTCGGTCGCATGAGGCAAGTAAGGCCATGACTGGCCGGTAGGTTGGACATAGATACTGGCACACCAAAGTTCACAGTACATCGCGTTGGGACATTGTTTTCCCACAAGGAAAACTCGAGGAATTTAGGTTCACAGTGTGATTACTCTTGTGGTGGGTAGACAGTCTTGTCTGACATGTGAGTTGGATACTCTTAGCCCTTTTCAATGAACGCCGTGGGTGAACTCCATGGGGCGCTTATCCCCTCGTCAAAATGACTTTTCATTGATCAAGCCCTAGAAATGTGAACAGATCTCGACAAACGAATAAATGTGGGTAAACACTGATTCACAGAAAAAGACGGTTTTAAAAATCTATGTACGGTTCCCGTTGTATCAGGGGAAAAAAGTTGGGATGAAGAAACCACAAAGCACTGTATTTTATTTCGCTACCTTGTTTTCTTTGAAGATGAACGAAACGCGACTGGAACAGGAGTGACGGATTAGAATTTGACCATCAGTGGTCAATGTTTAGACGTTTTCCAGCCGGAAATGGACCATTACAGTCCACATGTGAAACTTTGTAAAACGTTCTTTTAGGGTGATATACCTGCCGTTGAATTTACTTTTATATCCTATGATATAAAATGACCTGGTTTATCGACCAACAGGTGATCATAGTGCATAGACTGTAGTCAACTTCGTGCAGGTGATAAGGTGTACTGAATTGATTGTCACACAACCTCCTGCTGCGATCAGCTGCATCTTCGATCTCGTAATCCGGTTTGTCCCCACCTGCCTGATGAAGCAAATGAAACGGTTTCCAACCGGACCTCGTGCACACCTCTCGGGAACTGTTCGTTTATGTGTCTGATACCAAAGTTGGTAGCCGAGTTCCGATCCGGCGCTAGACAGCAGGAGGGCGCTTGACCACAATTCCTTCAAGTCTGCAGGAGCGTGGACAGCTTCATACACCCGGTGGTTTCACAGAATCAGATGCCTTGGTGGGATTCCCTGTCGTGACACCTACACACGCTGTGGCACCTGCCACAACATCGATCACACCATGAGCTGTGCTTACAACCCTATTAATCGAATGTCTGTACAAACACAACTGACGGGGAGGTCGTCTGAATATGTGGCACTGGTGTGTGCACTGGTATCATCCGTGTGTTGGTCTCCTGGTCAATCACAATGGTTGCCCGTGATGCTCGGTGGTCTTGCTTCGAAACTGTGTCCCAAGCGTGAGAAAGTTGGGCTACTAGACGTACCAAACCGGAGACAGTGTGCATCGCGCCGTGCGTGGGACAGGAGACAGCACAGTGAATGCCCGCTTTACGACAGCCCTCTACTTCCAGACACTGTGAATGGGAAAACGAGTTCCAGTGAATGAAGAGGATCCCGAAAATCACATACATGATCACCGTGCCAGTCAATCATCGATTTGTTTATTAGGACCACCGGGAATCGATATTCGACATTCAGCATCAGGTTGAGAAGTAGGCTGTGCAAGTCACGGGACGGCATAATAACAGTCCACGGTGTCTTCGTTACTACTGAAAGGAAGAAGGCCTTCGCTGCGGAGTGGTTTATTAGTAAAATGCAAACTGAACAGTTTGCCTAGTGGACAGGGAAGCAGAACTCCCATATGCATCTTGTTTTATAAAAACTGAATATCCATTTTCTCCTTGAACGCGTCTTCCTGAACTTTCCTGGATATTCATTGACTGTTGCACAAGTCCAAGCAAATGCTACAAAGCGACTTCACAAATTCAGTAATAGATCCCAGTTTTCAAGAGACGCAAAACGGATTTACGAGAAAACATACTACTCGCAGGCCCTCCCATCAGTAGTATCACCGTTACACTATTATTGCATTGATACTCAGCGAATTTCGACGTAGTCGTGTGTAGTACCTCTGACCTACCACAATCTGGTTGAAAACTAATTTTCGGACAGACATTTTTCCAGAAAAGCCTGCTTAAAAGTTTAGTGACTGTCGGGCAGATTTATCTCACTGACGCCGGACAGCGCAGTCCGAAACTTCCAGTCCCTGAAGCTCTAGTGCACGGATAGCCGCAGGATTGACAATTAAGCCTGCGGTCGTTTCAACCACAAAACCTGACTAGAAGCCGTTTACAGATTATAGCATAACAATAATAACAAATATAAAGTTTTTATACTAGTGAGTGTTGATCAGTTTTGCCGAGCACGGCAATGGCTATGCACCCGAGCCGAAAGCTACCAATGTTCCAAAACACTGTCACAATAAAAGGTGATTCTCTGAGCTGGAAAAGAATTCAATCCAAAGTGAGAAAGCAAACTTTTTTGGTGAATACTACTGGTAATGTGACACAGGAAAAATACTTTAGTAATAATTATTCACTCTTTTGAAGAATGAAGAAACTAAGGTAAATAAATGACACATTGTCGAAATACACTCATTTGCAGTTTTCAATAACCCTACGAGTAGTATATTACGTCTATAAATGAAGCATAATTTACCGAGGGCACGAATAACCGAATAAGAATGTTCAGCGGTACGCAACGCAGAATCTTCCGGTAAAGTGCCATGATCCAATCAGGAACTTGAAGGATCACAGAAAACAGCTTCCCCGTGAGTTTTCCCCATCTATCTCTAATTGTTTCTAACGTTTTGTACTTGGCAATCAATACGAAGCACAATCGACGCTGGACACACCAGATAAAATAACACGAGATGGAGGATTCATCAAAAATACGGAAATTCATGCTGTCAAGTTAGCAGAACCTGAACCGTCTAAGCTAAATGTTTTTTTCAAGGACTAAGAATTTTAACCAAAAACGGTGTTCAGCGGAACAACTGGTTCTCTAGTTTGACTGAATGTTTGTAAGCGAGAGATAAACGTGCATCGATGCCAGTCACTCGACAAGAACTAAAGGGTCAGATTCTGTGTGATAAGGCCTTGAAAACCCATTTTCATTGGTTAATTTTTGTGTTCCGTTTGCAAGAACATACGCAACGTTTGCGCTCACGGTTGCATATACTCGTTTGGAGCTCGAAATAGCTCTTGGTTTGGGCGCGCGCTCGCCTACTGAAATATCCGTGGTTCGAATCCGACCTCTGCATCTTGATTTCCTCTGTCTAGGCTTGGGCGACATGGTAGTGTTTCAGCCCACGGGCACGACAGCCATGCACCGAAAGGCGGTTACAGCTGGACAACTATTTGTAACTGTTTGATATTCGTTTATGCTCAGAACCTCGTCTTCTTTTCTTCACGAGTGAAACTGCGTTAGTTTTGCGTGATTTGTTCATGATCCGCAGGGGAAGAGNATCCGCAGGGAAAGAGCCCATTCTGACTTCATTGGCCGCTAATGCCCGTTGCTAGGTCTAGGTACAACCGAAGTGTCTGTGATGGATCGAATTATCCGCGGACTGAACTGTCCGCGGCATGCAGTATGATTAGTGAAATGGGAAACTTGTGTGATTTCCCATTCTGAATTCTCAGCCAGTCAGAGGCTTCATACACGATGTTTGATCCGCTTCACAAAAAGTTCGAACAAAGAACGAGCAACTGATTCTGTACGCACTCAACTTGTCTGCATCCATGCACTAAGGTTGTGAGGATAGAAAATGGACAGCGAATTCACCACGTGTTTTGGACGTTATGCACTACTCATAAGGCGGAGAGATTCGGCTGGATTCAGTTGAGTCTCCCTTCTAAACCAAATTTATGTGTGAGTGAGAGAATTAAGGCTGAAAATTCATAAAACTCCCAGCTTTATCACGCTGGGCACGCTGAGCAATGAATCCTTCCATCTAGTGTCGTACACGCTACCTTGTGACAGTTTCATTTTTTCGTCTGGCACAAATGACCCGAGCGTGAAGGAACTGCAGTTTTCAAATCCGTCTGAGTCTTCGAGCGCTAGTCAGTGTTCAAAAAATTCAGCTTGTCTGGGGTTGACATTTCGTTCTATCAAGTGAGTTTGGTCGGTATCGTTGATCGGACGTCAGAAACGGTATGCGTGAGATGGTCTCGGAAACCCAAGGTCATTCGGTTTCAAATGCCAGGTTGTCCGAGCTTTAAAAGCTCTGTCGTGTTGGTTATATTTGTTCCCGATCCAGGAAAACCAATTCATAGGAACACTGTCCGCTGTCCCGACTTTACACATCAGTATGATAACCAGACGTTCCGACGCCCACCCTGCCGAGTACACGGCTCCAGTTGGTACATTGTGTCCACGAGCCAAATGTCTGTCCGTTTGTAACACTTTCTTGTAGACCTTTCATGTGTCGAAGAGGGGCGAGGGGGGATGACCGTCCAGACGACCGTCGTCCACGGTGCGACCACAGTAACCATGGCTATTGATACACCAATTGCGAGATCAGTTCCACAACATAACGAAACTGGCTCTTTCGTCCGGCAGACTGTCACAATAACAGTTACGCTGCCGTTTCTGCCTGCTCCAGTCAGCCTCATCCGGACAGACAATACAGATTGGTGAAACGAACGCCGATCTAATCTGTCGTCTGAGTCTCCTTGATTTCGTATTGGAATTAATCGCACCAGCCCAGCACTGATGGGATTTTCGCTGTCTGGCAGATTGCTTTCATACTGGGAGCAACGAAATTTGACTACTCTTTTTAAAAAAAAATAATCTTTCATACTCACCCGGCTCCGGTGAGGATGCTTCGGATAGGCTACAACTCGTCTTTAGATTTCCGCCGACAAGACATACCGTTTCAAACCGACCTTCAGAGGCTCGATACATCCACTACCAGTTTGTTCTTTACTGACAACTAACGACATTGTCATTCACCCAATGACGATGTCTCCTCATACAGTGTTGAAACGTCTGCAGGCAAACTGATCAACGTTCACGTGATCAAACACCAATGAAGTAGCAATATTTTGCACACTGTCATACCGAAAACTCAGCCATTTTATTGTCTGGTCCGAACTCTCGCCTTATAGTACCCAAGAAATGATACGATTCCTCGTGCTCTCGTTTGAACGAGAGAACGTCCACACCGAAGGGGGACACCTTGGCTTCGAGTTTCACTCTTATTAGAGCTCACCAGCATTGCCTAGCAGTGTTGGGACTTAAACCTCGGCCATGCGATGGGGACGTGTGATCACTGTTCCACGGACAAACGACTAATGTCCAGTGCTAATGAACTCTACTAAGAACGGAACCCGAGTCCAGCTCTTTCTCCCTTCAGTGTGTGCTCACCAGAACACCTCCGACAGGAGAGGACTGTTCAAACAAGAGCGATGAATCCTACAAATCCCGTAAGCACCTACAGCTGACGATGATAATGACGATGGTGTTGATGGCCATCTTATATCGCCACCAGTTTCCTGCCAGTGCAGAGAAAATCCGGAGAAAGTCCATCTGGAAGCCTTGCCCAAGTGTTAAAATCAGATGATCAGAAACGAACCGCCTTGCTGAACGTATGTTCATCTTAGCGAAATACACTCATTTGCAAACAAATTTGGTTTTGCCGGAGACTCACCTGGAACCCAGCTAAATCTCTCGTTTATGATGTTTCCAGGCGACTGAATGTGCTGTACCAAGCCGCCTCATGTTTCAGTTGCTATGATAATTGAGATATCGCGATACATGTATGGACGTAATACACTACTCTTACGGTTGCTGAAAATTCTTCGACAGCCCACGATCGTTTTCGCGCTTGTTGCGGCTCATCGATTAGGCGTAGTCTCCGAGTTTCCGCCAACTTCATGTTCGAATATTTGGTGAAATACATTCATTTGCCAATCACCTGGAACTCAGCTGAATCTCTCGTTTATAATGTCTTCAAGTAACCGAACTGCGGAGAGTAGAAATTCCAAAGTTCTACCCAAGACAACCATTTCAACGATCAGTTCACGTGGAAACAGTGAGAATTTTTTTGCTAAGGTTGTTCACAATATTTGCCCAACAGGCAAATCTTTGTACGTAGACAAAATATCATGAATTCACGGCGATACAGCCAAGCATGTTGGAGAATGAAACTAGTTCACACTGTGTTTGTGGCTCGTTTAACCACAGAATACACTTATCGATAAATTAGTACATCATCTCGTGGTTCTGCGCCACGACTCTGATCAGTATTCACGGTTCTGTAGCGATGAACGATGCGTAATTGACAAAGGACTGTGGACGAACCTCATCCTTGTGCTTGCTAGAAGGCTATCTCGAACACACCGATTTCCACGACCGGGTGGATCGACAGAAAAGCGTACGCAGTCGACCGCATGGCTCCCACACTGTTTGGGTCCGTTGCACGTGGAAGTGAGCTGAATGTCCTTACGAGAATTCAAGCGAAAGCCTAGTCGTTCACTTTACGTGACCATTTCGCTGACGGCCTTCTGGACTTCTAAACGGCTTACCTTAAGACATGCCAACATACGTCCATCATGCGCTTCGATCGATCGGTCCAGTCCAGGGTACCACAGGATTTTCTCATCGTACCATTTGGTCATACCTCACGTTTTAACGTCAAATTACAACCAGATACCTGTCCTTTGTGTTGTTGAAATTTACTTCAGCCAGGTGTCCGTCGATGGCTACCCGTGTTTCAATGAACAGGTGTACCGGAAAGACAACCTAACAGCATAGGACAACCTTCAAGATGATAGGTACTTAGAACACTAAGGCTGTGTTGGACTCAAATTAGCAGCGAACCCAATCAAGTTGTCCTGTGATTCCCGAACTCAGCCAAGCAGATCGATAATGGATCAGAGTAGCTTCGGAATTCAATAGCATAGCTCACAGGGTTTTTCCGGTAAACCCGTTAGACCGGTGAATCTGCACATAGTAGACTAACTCTGTTATATCTGCTGATTCGTCAATCTGTGGTATCTGCTGCTGACCCGCCCCAGTGCCTAATGCCGGAGAAAAAAGACTCACAGAAGGGAACACAATAGCTATATTCCGAACAAACGAGTGCGAGAGCAAAGATTACAACGTCTCTACGCTATTTAAAGGGGACTTTCCGACATTGACTCAGGCTGTCTGATAGGCGTTAGTGAACGCCCATCAACATCGATCATGCCTCTATGAAATGCCTGAACGCTGATCACATTCAATCGTGCTTCTGTGGCGTTCAAGGACACTCATCAGGTTTCGCTGAATTGATTAAATGACTGACTGGCCTGGATGCTTGCCGGCTTTTCTGTTGAGTTTTTGGTGGAGCAGTAGGTTCCGGGCGTTCTGAGGTTGCTTTCAGGAATCTGACCTTCCTGATAAGCTCATCAGACATCGCAACGTAGGGTCCAACATGCGGGAATCCAAGAGTCCATCTGGTTACCGTTTCTGTCATAGGCAAACAGGATTTTCAAGCACCAAATTGTGGCTATTTACCGGCATGACCACAAGAATCCGAAGCTTCAAACAGGTCTCTCCTTGCAAGCTTTTGAATGCTGCGATAAGTCATCAGAAACAGAGGAATCTGTGTGTGCATCAAACTGTCTGCTTTCTATCGCTTTGGTGCATGGAAGCATTTAGTTGAAAGTAAATGGGCCTAATGTTTCAACGGTGTTACTCAGTAGAAAATAAGTGAAGGGGATCCGTCCGCTGTAGAGAGGTAAGGAGTTGTAGAGAGGATAAAATCATTCTCTCCTCCAAACAAGTGATGCACTTCAGAGATTTTGGTTTGCTTACTTGTTGGAAAGTGTTCGGAAGAAGAGAGGTTGACTTCCCAAATAAATATTTGCACTTCGAACACATCAGACACGGAGCGAAATTCACCCGGCGCAGCTGCTCTTTCAAGGAGGGAAATCGGTCATGAACTTAAACCTTATCAACAGGAGCCCATTCACGTGATCGGAAGGAAAGGACCATAATAAACCATTCAGCATGTCGCTGCATTCGAGTGTAAGCGATATCCCGGTTAACAGTTGTTTGTGATTTTCACTGAGGAGTTCTTTGAATTCTACGCGTTTCTCACTAGATCAGCCGTAATGTTACCGGGCCGTGGTGTTCTGAACATTGACACAATGCAGTTTTGTCGGACGAAGAGGTCCTCGAACCTCCCCCCGGAAGGGGTCACCAGTACAACAACTGTAACTGATTAGTAGGGGCCTACCATAAGCACCGTGCAAGTTTTCAGTTCTTTGAAAGCACTAAAACCGCTATACTGGAAGTTTGTGGACCTTGGGGTCGACCTCTGTTTTTTTCTAAAAAGAAACAAAATATGACAGGTGAATTTGTATCAAGATATTCGGTGAATGGCAGTGGAAAATAAATTCAGAACAGTTCGGGTACAGTTGATCTATCAAAATGTGACACCCTCATGTCTCAATCGGGTGACACACCCAAACCACGGTTCATGACAGAGCAAAGCATATCGAAGGAATGTGTACCAGGGGGTAGGCACAGGTGTAAAGTGACACCGAACAATACATAAACAAGGTTTTCACTCTCTGTTGACTCGTGCCTTGTAGGTGTATCGTTTATATTCCTACGGACAGTCTTTCTGGCAGTTCGCTACTCGTGTGTGGGTGTGTGGGTGTGTTGATAAAATTTCCCCACCCCTCCGACTGGACGTTCAACCTCAAGAGCCTTGTATCATGTTTACTGCGAGCAAAGGGTAGAGTGACCGCGAATGAATACGGACCATGTGGTGAGACAGTCGGGTAGATGACCCAGGTCAACCTACTTTTGTGTGAAATTGGTCCAAACGTATGTAATTTGTCCCGTTAACCACTACGATCCAACAATGCGAAAAGACTGTCATCCAGATTGCTAGATCTTTGATGAACCTACGGACGACAGAAAGCCGTTAGTTTCGATTTTCTGCAGCGACTATCCACCGCATAGTTTGGTGTTTAACTGTTCAATACCCACCTGTTTTTGTAACGTACTACTCATAAGGTTGCTGAGAATCCGTCGACAGCCCACAACCGGTTTCGCCCTTTTTGTGGCTCATCAGGTAGGCGCAGTCCCCGGGTTTCCGTCAACCTTGTGTTCTACTTGAAAACAAATTGCACGAAATCAGCGAATATACACTCATTTGCAAAACAGTTTGGTTCTTTCGAGAGACTCACCTGGAACCCATCTGAATCTCTCGTTTATGATGTTCTCAGGCGACTGAATGTGCTGCACCAGGCCGCCTCATGTTTCAGTCGCTACGATATTCGAGATATCGCTATACATGTATATCTTTGTAATGTTCAACTCATAAGGTTGCTGCGAACATCACAAACGAGAGATTCAGCTGGGTTCCAGGTGAGTCTCTCGAAAAAAACAAATTAGTTTGCAAATGAGTGTATATTCGCTAATCCACCTGTTTTATTTACAACGTGTCACAGCAGCCAACCAGTAAATAAAGAGTCATTTGCGGAGTCATTTTCGGGAAATTTACCTGGAACCCAGCTGAATCTCTCCTGTTTATGATGTTTCCAAGCAATTTGGTTTCCAGTAGACCAAATCGGGGACTGCACCTACCCGATGAGCCTCAAGAAGGGCGGAACCGGTCATGGGCTGTCGACAAATTTTCAGCAACCTTATGAGTAGTGCAATACGTGACAAAAGAACAATAGCCGTCTGTCCAGAAAAACTCGGACAGTTGATCTCAAAACCAAGACGCACGGGCGCCAGATCGTATCTCAGTTCCCCGGGCTAGTGACTGGTGTTTACTTTGATAACTGTCATGACAGAGTGGAGCCTTAAAAGCAACTCCATCGTGCGTACAACCTTGGAGCCAGACGCGGCATATCCACACCGACCTGCAATTCGACCCTGTGAAATTGCTCCAAGCATTTCTGTCCCATTGAGGAATTGATCCCACTCCGTTGTCATGATTGTAACAAAACCGCCGGGGTTTCCGCATGGAAAAATAACCCACTAGGTGGCCTCGGAATCCTCACCCCCTCACTTATCCACTGGCTGGCTGGCACATGTGTTGATGCAAGTCTCAGTTGTGACCGCCTGGCTCGTGGACACACCAAGATGCCGTTCGACTTACCGCGTCCAAATTTTCGACATTCCAATCCAGACAAAGTGCAGCGGCACTTTTCAGGCAATCTGACGAAAGAGAGCAGTTTCGCATGATTCGTAATGAAGTTTTGCCCCAATTTGGTCACCACGCATCGCGATTCCTCTCTTCAATCTATCCACAGTGTTGAAGGTTCTAACCCAACTATCGCGGCTTCCCAGATCCCCTGGAGTTTCGTGAGATGTGCAGTGCTGATGAAGCACGTTTGTGCAACGCTTCTCGGCTTTCCAGGATGAAGTCGCTGACCCTGTCGATGCCCGTTTCCAAGACAGACAGAACGCCATGAAAAATAGTACAATTGTGAATCAGACAGTACGGAGACTTGGGCGTTATTACCTTGATACGGGGTGTGCACAAATAAAGCGGAACTAGGTGTTTTGAATGTAGGAATCGATCATGATTTCCCACATTTAGGCCTGTCTCAACAAAGAGAGTGAATAAAGGAGTGGACCTGGCCTTCACACACACACACATCCCATCACAGAGTAGGATACCCTTTCAGGGAAACTCCTCCGCTCTCCTGCACAGTGTTACTATTTACGGAAGTTTCCCAAGGGAGAAAATTGTTCCTGTGGGGTGCACGATTCCCCCCTATAAGAAATGTGTGTACAACCATAGTGAAGTCTAATAACCGAGGAGTTGAATTTTATATAAAACACTATGCACAGAAGAGGTTCAGCTGTTATGTATTCAGCAACCTGACGTGCAAAGTATGGTTGGATGGCCAGGCGAAGCATGCGTGGGCGTGCGAATGATGTCACGTGAATGAATGACTTCCGGATTCAGAGGCAAGCAACCTAACTGTTTGCTCATCCGCTACCACATATCTTTTCTTGGAATAAAGAGTACAATGCTGAATTTGGGTTGACAAATCCAGATATCGAGGTTAGAAGTGCATTCCAAATTGAGTTCTGAAAGACTTTGAACAGCACACCGATCGATCAGTTTAAGTGGTGAGTTAAGAGAACGCGCCTCTCCAACCTCAAGGGAACCGCCGTTGCACAACCTGCATTAAAGTGATTGTTCTCCGCGAATACGAGTGGGCCACTTCATTGAGCCGTTTTCTTCACCATGCACACAAGTTTGTAGGAAGCTCGTCCCCTGTGGAATACCAACGGAGTTTGATGAACCATGGAGGCCGGGTCAGCATCTCAAAGTTTATACATATTTCTTTCATTGGGGAGGAACTTTCCAGAAAAACTCCTGTCGGGAAGGGAATTCTCTCCATCGCAGTCGATCGCCAGGAAGCGCCCTCTGATAAAAAATTAAATAAAAAACGTTGTCCAGCTACCACCAGAATGAAGCACGAGGGCTGGGATACTGCCAGGTCGCCCAAACCTACACAGGGGAAGTCGAGAGGCAGAAGTCGGGTTCGAACCACGGACCTTCCGGTCAGTAAATTCGAGCGCTAACCACTGAGCACTCTGAGGTCGCAGAGGTAACAACTTCTGGTCCTCAAAATGACTGAGCGAGAAACAGCACAAAGAAGATGCTCCAGGGCACCAATTCACTTTTACTAACCGACTGAAACACTGTCTCTGTACATCAAGAGGCCCGCCTTGACTGGGTTTGATTGAGTTTGCCCGACACTTCACTCTATGCGACGTACAGATCACCAGTCTACGGAACTCACCATAAGTACGGTACATCTCGAATGTACCGGAGCTGACCATCGGTCTGTCCGCTGAACTCGACAGCTTTTTTTATCTCGGAAGGAAACAGAACTAGAAATAAGGTCGAACAGACTACGATTAACCAGTAAGCAACGAGTTCTCAGCAGTTTGGCATGCTTCACTTTGTCACAAAAGTTTACTCCTTGATTTATGTAACCTATTCGAGTTTGACCAAGTCACACAAGAGCTGTCCACAGTAGAAGAGCTGACGAGCTCATCCTGCTGCATTGGTTCGCATCGCTGGCGAACACTCATGACTACTGAATACGTGATGGGGTCACTTCAGAACGGAAAGACATATCTCTTACTAATCTACTCAAAATTTCGGTACCTATTTTCAGTAGTTTCATCGATTCACCCGACCTGGCCAGGAATTCACGTGATTCATATACCTTCCCTTGGAAACGAACCGGCTCTCTTTGCTACAACCATCGTTACAAGCCGTCTAACAAGTGGATCATGCAAAGAGCTACATTCAAAAGAAAGCGAAGGAAATTACTGAAAATAAATTGGAAATCTTCTGTAATATTTGCCCGTTCCAGTGGAATTCACACCACCCCTCAATTTGTATTGAGAACCGAAGTTTGGGAAAACCCCTCGTTATCTGGACGTAAGATACTACTCATAAGGGGACTATCATAAACGAAGATCCTGTACGCAGATAAGAGTTGCTCGGGCCTTACCAACACATTCCACATTCAACGGATGCAAAAGTACATCGCGCAAATGTCCTTGAATTGTTGCGATGCCGATCAGGTTCATCGCAAACAAACTGCTGCCTGTCCACTGCCGTCGACATGCGTAACATCCACGCCATATGTTGATCACCCTCCGACGGAAATTCACACGCTGTCTATTCTAGGTGCAGGCTGGAACAAGCGAGTTATTATATGACCTCAGTTTACTTCAGTGAGCCACTCAGATGGGGAACCACGCGAGGCGTGGGAAAACACGCGCTCATGAAATCTGACGACAGCACAGCAATGAACCCCAGCTGGAATAGATGTCACATCAGGATCGTTTTCCGACAGATGAAGGCTCAGCAACTCCCTACGCTAACTTCAAGAACAAGGCTATACACTATGGAATACCACAGATCATCTCCGTTTTTCACTTGAGATTTCTTCCAGTCACTGAAGCCAAGAAGCACTGTTTCATCTTTACTCTGAATCATCTTACCAGTCCCTAGGCGAGTTCCAACCGAACCCACTCACTTGAGGAATATTCTAGGCGGAAGTTGCAGCTGAGATTCATCCGAGGCTTCTAGTAACACCATTTCAATTTGCAAACCAGTATATAAGGCTACGAAACCTTTGTTTACCTCTCGACGCTATACTTTGCAGTGGTTACTCGTTCGAAGGAATACTACTCAAGAGAACCCAAACTGTTCTTCGTTTGAAACTCCCCAGTTTAGAAATCCAAGTCAAAATGTTTTCGGGTTAAGAAACTCATCCCTTCATCAAATTCGAGGTAGATAAAAATTTATTGGAATGTAACGTCGGCATACTTCTTGAATTTGCAAACTTCTCGGTGGATACCTGTTTTACTGTTCTCATGACAAAAGCCCTTAGACGCCCTTCATTCCAGAAGAATACCTCTATAGTTTCATTCAAGATCTTTTGTGCTTAGGAGCCATTGGTTTATGGACATGGAGGACTGACTTTTTCACTAAACTTTTCAATGCTGTCCCTCCTTTGACTTTGCAAACAGAATGATCTACACAGTGTCCTGTGTGTTACCGCTGGTCGTATGAGATCTGGAGCATTTTATTCTTCAAGAATACGATTTGGCCGGGCTCAAATATATGAAACGAACTTTAATTCTGAACTCTATTGAGTTGAATCACCAATCCACCGAGGTTTACCCTTCAGCCTGCCTGCCCATACAGCTATTCTTGAGGAGCAAAAAGATGTGAACCCGAGGAAAATAATACCAGTTTTCCTGTTGTATTAGTAGTTCCGAAATCAGAAGCTGATCAGTCTAGACTCCAAATGTGATGATAAACAAGAGTTACTTTATCCTAAAAAATGAACGCGTTTTGGAGGCATCTTTCGGTGAAATCCAATCAACCGATTGGCGATTGGAGGGGGATGGGGTTGATACTACGACCAATCAGTCAGTTAGCGTTTGACTTGATGTCGGCACTGGCGTTCTTCCCCAAGGGAGCTGTTTCAGACACTGCCGCTCATCACGCCCACGTGTTTTTTGGTGTTATCGTGGTGGTGCGAGGCCGAAACGCCATCATTTTCGACTTAGGCTTGCGTCATCTGGAAAGCCATGGAGTGTGGCAACTGGGCAATCATTTGATTCGTCACCTAGGTCAAGTGAACAGGCAGACGTTAGTGCTAGACAAACAGTAGCGTAGCCATGTCTGCGTGCACATGTGCGTGTGCGCATTGTGCGTCGGTGCACCTGTGCTGATAGGCCAAAGAGGCACGCATCACACACGAGCCGCACAACACCACGGGGAACAGAACGTACGCACCAATGGGGCACAGGCAAGCCGGCAAGACCCACAGTAGTTTAAGTCGACCTCTCAGTTGGTTGCACACGATGTACGCGTCTCAGCCGTCGCCCGTGAGCAGCATCTTAGCTCCCATGCCCTCCAATGTCCTGCCGAATTCGTTCTGGAGCTACGTCCACACCGGACCACCGCCCCAAGCTATCCGCCCAACGACGATGAAAGAACCTGGCGTTACATGTACAAACCTCATTCCACGCATTGGCGGACAGAACACTGTGAAAATATTACCCAAGAGCAGCGACAGTAGACCATCTGCGAGAGCGATTTCACGTAAAGTAAGTTCTTAGTTTACACATTGTTATTAGACCAATTGTCTTTTTGACTCGAGGCTTCGATGCAATATGCCCCTCACTTCTTGTTCAAACCATTCAACTTAGCTCTCGGCATTGGGTCGCTCACAAACCAGCAAGGAATTTGGGCAGTAGGTCTCAGTTTTTTCAACCCTAACCGGCTAATGGTGATGATTATGTTCTTGCCATGCCGAACGAGGCTTTCTTCAACTCATCGGAGTCCTTGAATGTAGGCATCGATCAAGTGACGGCAGAGAGCCTGGACGAATCGATCGAATCGGTTTCAGTCAACTGCCCCACCGCCTTAAATCTGTTGCGTTAAGTCCGACCATTTGTGCCACAAAAACCTAATGGTAGTCGTGTTCTCTCCATGGGCTTCTCATGCGATTGTATTCTCCCTTCCCGACAAGGTTGCTAATCGAGATGACCTCCTAACTGGACCCATTCTTTGAGAGGCTTGTCACCACAAGTCGCCAACTCACAGTAATGCAAATCGCTAACACTTGTCGTGAGCAATTCAACCAGTTTCGTCAGCAAACTGATTTCATCCTCATTAGTTTGCTTCCACCGGACAAAGTCTTTCAGTCTGGTGACGTTTAACAAAACTGCAGTGACTATGCGGCCATCAAACATTGTGTGTTTGTGTACTGGTGGTTGATCAAATTGGCACTTAGCTTGCAAGCGTTTCGTCCCCAGTCGAAGAGACGTCGCCAGTGCGCAGTTGAGTGGAGGTGAACCCAGCAATATCAGGGTTTCGACCATGGGTCTGCAGCTGGCCCGTATATGGACTTCCCTTCCAGGATCAGGGCATCGGCCGAAGTGCGGTAAGTGAAACTCTGATCAGTTGGTGACGAGAGTGGCGCATTTGACTGAGGCTATGGTAGCGAACGGTTCGAGGTGGGTCACGGTAGTAGAGCTTTTGCGACAAGTCCTCAACGAACCCTGATATTTCACCCGTGATATCTGCAGTTTATTGATGATAGACCAAAGTCAGCCTTTGTGAAGTCAAGAACTGCTTTGTGCTGGTCTTCACCCACTTTAGGTAGCCCAACCCGTCTCTCCATTTTGTTTCCCAATGGGACAAGACCCTTAATGTGTTCTGTCGGATAACCAGAATTGCGTAACAAGATGTCACGAATGTTGTGGCGCATTTGTCCACATTTGCCCGTCAAGATTAAGGTGGTTCAGGAAAGACCCTACTGCCAGCAATTCCCGTTGTCATACCATACGCAGGTCAGACCACTGAAGCTAATGACTGGAAGCTGGTCTCGTTCTGACGCGATAGTCAGCATCGAAACAGGTGGGGTTAATTTGGTGATGGCAGCTGAACGCTCTTGAGATTTACGCATGGATGCTCACTGTTGGTGTGAATTTTGAACACACCGTTTATGATCACACACAGGGGGAGGGTGTCGGTGGCACTCGCAACTGGGGCAAAGCCGTTTTCCTGTGCTGATTCCATCGACAATTGAGTTGCGGTTGGAAGTTGAACACTTGACGCTCTGGATGTACAAACCTGACGCGTGCCGTGCATGTCCACAATTATATCCCAAGTATGTGAAATGTCGACACGGTTCCAAAACCCTGGAGTGCGCAGGGGAATAAGCTAATATCTGATATCATGCATAAACAAAGTTGGTCGCATTGCGGCCCTCAGCATTCTAATCATGCGTGTCTCACAAGTGAGCGGCAAACAACGGCCAAATCACTCTTGAAACAACACGTCAAGAAATAGAAGCACAAAAGTTTGTGTGCACTGAATGACTGTCAGTAGGGGGCGGTTGATGTGTCATAGGCCGGAGGAGGGTTACCACCCAGATGGGTGGTCCCCATAGGAGTTTTGTATATTCTGGTGAGTGGCATTTTTCGGCAGAAGACGTGCCTGATATAAATCCATTCAGTGCTGGAGGTAGTAGAATTCGGGGGCACTCCCCGAATGAACTAACCGTGGTTTAGTCCCGATTTTCAGCCTGATTTTGTGTGGCCCTCAAGCAGGATTGTTGACTCGTGATGTGAACAAGTGCAACGTTCGATTTTCTTGGATCGAATACATACATACAGTACAGTTCCGTACATACAGTACTAAACTTGGCTTCTACGGATAAAAATGACACGCGAGATGGCTCAGTGGTTGGAGCGTAAATTTACTGACCGGAAGTTCCCTGGTTCGAATCCGACCTCTGCCCCTCGAATTCCCCTATCTAGGCGCCCTGGAAGTATCCCATCCCTCGTGTGGCATGGCAGTTATGCATCGAATGATAGTGGTCCTAAAATTTCATACCTTTTCTGTGTTGCTCGTTTGGAGTCTCCCTGCCGATGTCATAAGTTCAGGTGAGATCGCATAGACATGTGTTTGAGCTCAACAGGGTTGTTGAGGGACGGTGTGCAACACTACCTGTAGTATATTCGACCCTTTCAGAAGAGACAAAAACGATACGTTCCTTTGCTTGTCTATAGCCGATTAGATGCGAATGCTTGTGCACACCAGATATAGACCGTGCCACTTTCAGGTGGCCCTAATGAACATGTCAAATTTGCACTCATTTCTTAGTGTCAACAAAGCAAACATTCGGGCTTTCGTTGGTTTAGGACAGTAATTCCCTGAGCGCACTGCTGGCTGAGCGTGGATTCTCGATTCAGCTGTCCACATAGCTACCGTGTCCTGTCCGTAGGCATCACACCTAAAAGTTGCCAGGACGTTTGAAACTGTCTGCACGCTATCGATCAGCATCTGGTTGAGATAATGGTCGATATTTGTCCACTGGTAGCTGGTTGTGACTCGTCACGTGATCTCGCGTATCCGATACCAAGCGGCATCCCACCCACATTCTTTCTTTCGAGTGCACTTTACCTCCGTTTTCCAAGGACGCTCAAATGAGCGCTTGTTCACATCACCGTTCCATCAGACAAGCGGTCATTGGAGCTGATCGCAGATATTTAATTCATGAAACTCAGTATCGGAGCCTTCCAATTTTTAAATCGTTACGAATTCAACGAATACCAGTTAGACGACTGGCTAGCAAATTCTCTGACGCTTGTTTCCGTAGCATAGTACTGTAGTCGTGACTAAACTCCATCCTGCTTTCACTTTTGCGTTTTTCAACTGAGAAAAATTCTTCAGTTGGTAATCGAATGTAAAAAAAATCGTTCAATTTCACCATTCATCCTCATTGAGAACCATCAGCAGTGTATATCTCACAAAACTGCAGACGGTCTCGAACACACGACCTCCCGGATACAAGTTTGAATTCAACCGTTCGGCGACGGGCTGCTGACCAGCAGTGTGATCCCGAAGCGGCAATACTAGTAATAATCGTTCGGCTGTAGCACCCTTTAAGTGTCTAGTTGCCATCCTACCAGAAGGAAACACGAGGGCTGAAATGCTGTCAGGTTGCTCAAACCTAGACAGGGAAAGTCAAGATGCAGAGGTCGGGTTCGAATCACGGACCTCCCGGTCAGTAAATTCCCATCCAGGATCCTCTCCCATGAACCGGGCAAGCGATACTCCACGGTTCCTCACATGCTGTTGAGCGGCGATTCAACACACTGTGATATCCACATTTCGACATTGAGGGCAGACGTACTGTTGCTGTAAGTGTTCATCTGAACCTTATGTACACCTACAAAGGTCCTTTTGCTTTTCTGACACGATACTACTTACAGGGCGGATGAAAAATAACGATAAACTACGGGGTGGTGTTCGCGCTGCAGCATCTTTCTACCAGTTTCGTCAGTAGATGATCTTTTGGCTCCACAGGTGTTCTTCAACTTGTTCTACATCTTTTGTTCGCGCACGACACTGCGCGCAATCGCGGTTTCACCTCATCTTTTATGTGAAGACTGAGTTTCTTTTGTGGAAAAAGGTGTGCGTGGAATCCGGGGGTCTATAAAAATTACTTCCAAGTTATTCAGAACCATTCCTTTCCGTCTAATTTTTTTACGATTGAATCTGGTCCAGAGAACGTCCCCCAGGAGCGAATGCCGCAACGAAGAACAAGCTGCGCAAATGGCAGTTGCTATGGCCCCAAGTTGTTCAAACTAATGAATATCATTGGAATAGATATCAGTAACAGCTGTCTAGCCTGCGGTGAGTTCCGCCTAACAACAAGCTTTGTGGTAGAGAGACATTTTTGTCTGACCCCACTACAACGGGTCGCGTAAAATCAGTACAGATCAGCAGTGAGTTCCATTCTCACGTTTGACCTGTGCTATTGACAAGACTCTGATTTCGTGACATCTGGATGCCAGTGCTTAGTGGATAACTAAAGTCTTCGTGAATTCTGCTCCTTAACGCGAACCTTGTCGTCCGGGTGACCGCTACTGAGCGCCCATCAACAAACAGGTGCCGAGCGTCTCTTCGCAAGTTGTGATGTCCCTTCGGACAACAGGAGGTTTGGAACATTAGCCATCGTAGCTTCCAAATTTCTGATTTGAAATGCGTCAAAAGACGACCATGCTGACGCTGAAGGGTTCCTAACCGGGCAATAGGACGAGGTATTCTAATCCTCTGGGATTTTGAGCTCCAAGCCTCTACAACTGTTTATATTGAAACGATCCATGAAGAAGATTGGATCCCACATACCTCTCGGCCAAACGCGCGTCGCGTTGCACGTTGTCTTGTACTGCACAGTGACCTTGAACGGTAGGTGAGACCAACTTCGTCGGCGATCTCTCGTGACTAAGTGACAAACGATCGCCCACACCCCAACTCGGACCTAGTTTTGGCTTGACTTCCTGGCCAAGCCATCTGAATGCCTTCCATCTCAGTAGACAGAGTGAGCGCTTGCTTGCTTTAATGAATACATAAGGCGGTCACAGCCCCCACGGTTGAATAAAAACATGGTGAAGGGGGCGCACCTTTACTGGCTCATTGGACTGAGACGGTGACATTGCTGATATCCATTTCGTATACCGAAACTCAGATCCTGCACCATGCACACCTCCACTTTCCCACTCTTCGAGTCCCTTTTCAAATATCTGTTCTCACCGCAGTCCATATGCGTGCATGTTCAGTTGCCGGGTTAGTGACCGAGGCTGCTCCGCCTATGGCACGGCAGTGAATCATGCACTTTCTCACGTTTTGTGTGAGAGCCGGGTTAACACTTCACCCAGGCTTATGAGGCGATATCCCGTCGCCACTTCCTGCCAGGCCCAGCAGACGTCGTGCGAACTAACAGACTGATTGATTTTCGAGGGCATGGTTTTGCACTACCTCCAGAAAGCTACCGTTACTCATCAGCTGCGCGATAGATTCCGGCCGAACATCTTCACTACCCTAGATAAAAAGCCTTCCCCAGACGTCCAAAGGCATTCAGTTTGGCATTTTGAATTCGTTCAAAATGGACGTATTTTGAGTGTGTAGTGGCAGGCTAACCCGATCCCTTCTCGAGGGCTAAAGAAAGTGCCAGTCAAGGTGCCACGCAGACTGACCATGAGCGTGCACGCACCTGAGGAAGTGAATGTGTTCTCGCTTCCGCGATGTAGTTGGTTGGCTCGACGGCTCGAACACCGACCCAGCATAATTGTCCTGGTTGCGCACTCACATGTCAGGATTGTGCAGTCAGGAGGCGCCTCGGTCGCCTGAAACCTACAGGACGAATTTTGATTAGCTGTAGGTCTCGCTTTTGTTTTGCAGTGTCTCATCCTTCGGGCTTCCGAGGAATTTGTGCGGCGAAGACCGCGAGACAACGTAATATCTGATAGAGACTGGAAGTCATAGTAATTGGAAATATGCTTATGGTCGTTTTCGACCACATCTGTTCTAGTGCTAGTGAGATCTTTTCGGGAATCGCCACTCGAGGAGCCAATCATCACGTGACCACGTGACGTGGTTTCTGTGATTGGAGTACAAGTTGGGCTATCTAATTGCGAGTTAATCACACTGCTGATCAGCCGCGCATGATCGAACGTTCGATTGGTCAGCCTATTGACCGGAAGGTCGTGGCATCGAGAGACTCTGAGATGCACATTGTTGACTTTTCCTCATAAGGGTGGAACAGGTGTACGGTGCTTCTCGGCTTTTCAGCATAGACTAGCCCGATCCACAGGACAAAGTCTCAGCGGCAAACATCATTCCGATACGAGGAATCCGTAATCATGCGTACGATGTTCTGACTGACGGGACAGAAGCGATAGACTCCGACCAATCAACGCCGGGACGACTATGAGGTCATTTTTATTCTCAGACTGTATTGCAGTACCGACATTTTCGGAACCATATAACCGGGGAAGGAAAATTAGTGGTTTTTCACCCGAAAATGTGAGCTGCAAATGACTAGGACGCGAATTAGTGACCAGAGGGTCCGTGGTTCGAACCCAACCTCTGCATCTCGACTGCTCCTATCTGTTCAGCTGTAGCACCTTTCCGGCGCCTAACTGCCGTGTCACCCGAAGGAAGAACGAGGGCTCAGATACTGCTGGGTTGCCCAAGCCTAGACAGAAAAAGTCCAGAGGCAGGGGTCGGGTTCGAACCACGGACCTTCCGGTCAGTAAAGCGCTCTAACCACTTGGGCCATCTCGCCCCCGCTCCTGTCTAGTCTTGGACCACCTGGCAGCATCTGGATCCTCGTGCTTTGTTCCACATGGCAGCTCGGCACCGAAAGGGTGTCACAGCTGAACCCTGGACGATTGGAAACAAAATCCGTTTCATTCTGTGAGAACACGGGCGTACTAAGCTAGCATGACCAACGTTGAACATGCCTGATGTTCCCTTCACTGGAACAATAGCACTTCCTCTGCTAAGGGCACTTTTCAACACTCTTGGTGAGAATTTTCTTTGTAGAATTTTCTAGTTTACCCTACACTCTTGTGATTCACAAATTGGCACAACTCCCCAACTAGGTCAGAAAAAAACAGTAGGGGAACACAGTACAATGAATTTTCACTAAGATGAATTGTTACACAGCAATGATCATTATCGGGAACTTGAGAAATTTCGGACTATCGTGTGTGTTGCTTTGTATCAACCTCCAGTTGTTACTGCAGCTGTGAAGCACCTCACCGAATTACCCGCCAAAGCAGTTCATTTACATGGTGCGTCTCGCATTTAGTTTTAAAAGATTTGTTTTCTTGATTGAAAGATGCAGCGAAAGAAATTCGTGCATTTTCATGAAGGCAACTACTCACAAGGTTGCTGAGAACTCTTCGACAGCCCACGACCGGTTTCATCCTTCTTGGGGCTCATCAGGTAGCCGCAGTCGTGAAAACCAAAGCGATTTGCAAATCAGTGTATTTCTCGAAAACTGCAATTTGAGTTCAAGTAAATCATA